TGTTGAAATGGGTCAACATGAAAAGGAGGAATTAGTTGTTCGAGATTACTCTGTGGTAGCTCCATGTATACGAAATATTGGGCACCCTGTATATTAAAAATAATAAATAGTAAATCAAATGATTTTTGGTGGTTTTTGAGAATAAAGGTTGGCACTTTTTTTTACTCATGACAATGAATTCCCTGCGTAACTTTTTAAGGAGTATTGCAATTGAAAAAAGAAGATAGAACCCCCTTTAGACACTTGTTCACTATATAATTTTATGAACATCTTTCGAGAATTGGACCAGTCGGGAAACTGTACACTAAACCAAACAATTAAAGGGTCAAAAGAATTTCTGAAATAAATGCGTGATTTTTGACAGACTGTATAAGTGAAAAATGGTCGTATCGAGAATTAAAAGAAAGCATTTTGAAGCTCTAAGATTCTAGTTTTTAGATCTTTCGGTCGAAAATTTTTAGGAGCTACTGTTATCATGCAATTCTAAGAAATAGCGCGACAAAATAATTTTGCAAATTTTTAAATTTTTTTTCCGAGTTCACGGACCTGGAAAAATTTTTTTCAGCTAAGCCATTGCATGGACCAGATAGGTTGTTTATTTAGCTTTTTTTTAATTCCCGATACGACCATTTTTCACTTAAATACGATCTGTCAAAAATCACGGAAAAATTTCGGAAATTCTTTTGACCCTTTAACTGTTTGGTTTAGTGTAGATAATTTGAATTTTCTTTTTGTGTAATTCTAAGGCAAGTTTTTGGTGTTTCCATGGTGCCAACTTTTAAATTATGAGAATTCCAAGAAAAAAAAACACGCGTCCGGCAAGCCCAATCTGGGCGCGAGCACCTAAATACCCATGTAAGTATTCACCATCAATTCGACTCCGTAACAAGGCGCTATCGGTTACAACGCTATTATGCGCGTGGAGTATATTTTTCAGTCAGTTTACCTCATGCGATTTGCATGCAACCCGACCTCGTGTAATATGAATCTGCAATAAAAACAAGAAACTTTATAAACAACGACCGGGGCTGCATATATCCCTCCCTTTACCTCTCTCGCCTCCGCATAAAAGGCATAAACAAATAAATGGCAACATCAAGACAGCAGGGTGTGTAACCGAATCCGAAAATACATGTGCACCTGCTAATAAAATGATGAAAGGTGGATAATACAGTTAGTCTTTCGTATCGTGTCAGTAAAAACGTTAAAAATTAAATAAGGCTTTTTAAGGAGGTATATCGGGGTCCGAGGGAAGGGAGGAGCGCAGGGGGGGGTCCTATGATTTTCTTATGGGACTAAAACCCGCTGCCAATTTGAAAAAATTAAATTATATTGAAATTATTTGCGATAAACATTATCTATATAGCAAAGAAATCTACTCATATGCACATAGCATACATATTGACTAATTAACAACTTAAAAATATCATATTTAAGTAGTTTTAAATTATTTTTAATGAACACATAAAGACTATGTAGATGTGGCAACAGCGCTAATAATTGACTAGCAGTTGTACCCACTGCGAACCTGCAGACCTCGTACATCGGAGATATTGCGCGTCAAATTCGGGTAAAGATGCGTACGCGTTCAAAAATGTATTGTGTGTAAACTATGTACAATATAATTATTATAGTATATAGCAAATATATCGTATTATCCTCGCGAAGATTTGTTTCCTTTATTTAAAATCCGTAAATCATGTGAACTGGTAAAATAACGAGAATTATGTTAATTTAGTTCTAAAGAAATGAAATGACACTCGCGCCCATCTCTCGTCCAAGTCAAAGAAAATGTTGGATTTTGGAAATGTTCAATTTTGAAGGTTCTGGGGTAGAAATTACATTATTACTCACTGACTGTTCGTGTTTTTAATCTCTATTTTAGTAATGTTACAAAAGTTTTGCAACTATAACTAATTTTTTAGATATAAAGTTTGCTGAGAAATATTTATGTTCCTTTGTTATTCCGTACAAATGCTTTTATCTCAAGTATTACTAATTATATTAATCAAGTAAAGAAAACTTTATGTAACCCTAAATATTGCTGGGTAATGATTACGATGTTTTTATAAACCATTAAATATATTAAAAGGATTTATCAACTGTATTTTTTATTCCAATAAATATATCACAGCTTCCTAGTCTTTTTTAATTAATCTAGTTTTTTAAAAACATTACAAAAAATCATCTGTTGTGGATAATTTATTGTTGATAACAATGTACATGGGATTTAGGAAAAATGTATATGTTTGAAATCAATTTCGTTTTTATCAAGTCTTTCAAATGTATTCCCTCCTTGCTGTCAGCTGATTGCGACGTTGCCACATTAATCCTCAAGTCAGACAGAAATGCAATTATTGGTTTCTGTTTCTAATTAATACAGCTGTACTATGTTCAAAACTTACATTAGTTTTACATCAAAAATAAGATAATACTGTGTACTATCTATGGAAAAGTTTTGTTTCACAATTTCTAAATTTTTTTGTCAGTTATGGACAAAAAAGAGCCACCGTCCATCTTCGCCATATAAACCTATGTTAAAATGAACAACTTTCAACAACAATATCTCAAAATCTAGATAAAAAAAAAATCAAAAAAATATGACGCACGGCTAATACGCTATATAAATTTCAAGTACATCTGTGTATTTGAGTAAACCCGATATAACTCCTTAATAAGAGTAAGCACTTGTGATTTTTTATCCAAAGTGTCACACAAGGCAGATAAATTACATAATTACACAAAAAAAGTCCAAACCCAAAATACGCAAGAGAAAGGAAAATCAAGAACATATATTATCGCATTTTAACACAAACACATGAGGAAATTGGTAATAATTGGATCTTTATTTTTTTTAAATCAAGTCCAGAATAATTGCTTGCTAAATTAATAGGCACAGTAAAAGATATGTAGAGCAAACTATTCCGATAAAATGTCATTTAAATTGTTTCCGAATGAAAATCATTTCGATAATTAAATAATTCTAAGCCTATTAAAACGATAATTCTTTGATATGTATAATTAATTATCTACTTTTAATGACATCTATCGAAGGGAATGTATCCCATTCGTACCAAATTCCTCCCAAGTGACAAGTTTGATAACTTTTCTTTTGAAATTGTTTCCGATAATCAGTTCATATCAGTTAATTATATTCCATTTTTAATTTAATAAATTTTTAATTAATAAGTACCGACATGGATGGTGGTCGTTTTACTAATCTGTTGAGAAAACCCTATTTATTGCTGAAACTTTGGATGCTTGAGATCAGGTTGATGTAGTACGTAGGTATATAGGTACCGATTTTTTTAGAGCATTCTGTCGACTTGATTACAATTTATTAACATAGAAATTGGAGTCATATGGTATCTCTCCTGTTCTGTTATGTCTGTTTAAACCTTTTATTAGTAATATACAATACCAGTTTGTGCAGTACCGTTCAATCATGTACATTCTATCAATCTACAGGGGTGCCGCAAGGGTCAATCCTGGGGCCACTGCTGTTTGTTATTTTTATTAATGATCTAACTAAATGCTTCGACGTCAATTATTTACGCTATGCGGACGACCTTAGATTGTTCTTGGAAATTAAATCTTCTCCTGAAAATTACATGATAATCTTGACAGATTATAGAGTTGGTGTTCAATTTATAATCTACTCGATGTAAGCAAATGTAAAACTATTTCCTGCAATCGATGAAAAGCTACTCTAAATTTTATTAAATGGGTGAATATTTCTAACAAGAATTACGTCATTATTCACTTTGAGGTTAGATTATCGTTTGATGAACATAGTTGCTTGCTTGTTTTAATTTTAATAGTTTATGTCGTAGGTGAATTATGTTTTCAATTATAAACCTTTTTAAAGTTATAAATAATACTTTAAATGCAGATTCATTAGTTTCAAAGCTTTTATATTATGTTCCTAGACTTAACTCTAGATTTCACCCTGCTTTACAATTAATTACCCACACTCCGTACAAATTTTCTAATGGCACCCCTTTATACGAAATGATTTCCAATTAAAGTATGAAGATCGACTAGATATTTTTTTTTCAAAAAAATTGTTTGTTTGATAATATTTTCCCATTTCCCAGTCTTGTATTATGTTATGTAGCTGATTTGTTGCATTTGTCTGTTGATTGATTGCTCTATTATAGTCTTTGTATTTTTTATTGTTAGTTCTCTCTGGATTTTTATTTATTTAGCATTTCTGTTTTACTGTTTCCTATAACTGGGACTTTGTCCCGTTGGGTATTATTGTATTTCTAAATAAATAAACACTTTGCAATTGTAAAATTGCTCAGTTCTATTTATTTTTCTATAAATTTGTTTACGTCTTCTTCAGCAAGATGCCTAACAATACCAGATTATAATGTCGTTTGTAATCATTTGTATATTTGTACTATTATTATCTGCTTATATGAAAAAGCCTTAGACTTGTAACAGTTTTTGAAATTAGTGTAGGTAGATACAACATGACATTTTAATTAAGAAATTCTCGAAACCACTTATTTTTGAAGACAGAGGAATAGAAATAGATGCTTCAGTGCCATTTTATTAGGATTATTTTAAAACATGCTTTGATACGTGAGTGAGTTGCCGACAGAAATTAAAGAAAAATGAGACTGGCGACTTTTGCGCACAAACTTTGACCTAACCCCCAGTATTCTTATTCAAACTACAAGTTGAAATTAAAGATGAGGTTTCACTTGCACCTGAGATGCGCTGAGTATTCTCTTACGTATCTCGTTACCTCACAGCGAACGAAGTAAATAAATCATACTTCTGCGTTTCGTTTTTATCCTCGGATTTCTTAAAGAAGTTCACGAGCCGAGTCGAGCAAGAAAATTAAATAAGTTCCAATTAACTGCACCGAAAAAAGCCAAAGAAAACTATACCACCGTTTGGGATAAGTTTAATATTACGCATTTTTTCTTAAATTAAATAAATTTTACGTTCACGTTGATTGACGTTGTATTGTTATTATTTTTTTTCAGGAATTCGCAGAAACAGCCATGAACGAGCTACTGGGATGGTACGGCTACGAAAACACCAGAGATGATCTTAAAGGTATTAGGAGCTGCAGATCACATTCTGGAAGCAACAGTTCAGGACAGGGATCTCCCAAATTCACAGGTAAGGAACGATGCAATGAGAATGAAATCGTATTATCAGGGAAAAGTAAGAAATTGAACCGGATTATCATTTTTGAAGGAACATGTTAATTAATTTTTAACTCCTACAAGAAAACTTAAACCTGAAATGAGTATTAGGTATATCACAGAATAATACAAATCAGTATGGACATACACCCATTAAAATTTGTATGACTAAACTTTATAAAAAATACTTATCCATTTTCAATTTATCCCACTCTTTCAGAAAGACTACTATAGTACCATCTAAAACTTACTGTACCCCCTGAATCCATGAATTATTTCATTATCCTCAAATTCATCCCTTCGAAATTTGAGTTGATTTGGTAACCTGTTTGGATGATATTATCGGGTATTTCTCCCTAGATGATGTACTGGTTTCAAATGAGCCGTTTTCTTCCCAATTTTTCTGCACTTTGCCTACTTTTTTCCACTATTCCTGTCTTTACTCCCTTTGGTACTGCTTTTTCAGCTTGATTTCATCCTTTGGTATTTTCGATGCAGGCAATTCTGAAAGGATTGGACGCTAGATTGCTTATCTAAGTCTCGAACGATGCGTTTGCAACAATTTTTTTAACAATATTCTTAACTTCAAAAAGTTTATTTTTGTAAATTTGTACAATATATTGATATGTCACAAATGATGCGTGCTATACAATACAACCATGTAGTTAAAGTTTAAATTCGATCAACAAATCCGGAAAAAATTGTCTGATTTTTCAGGTTTTTTGGTTAAAATCCCAGAATAACCTTGAGACTGGACACATTTTCCTTTAATTAAGCAAATATAGCTTCAAAATGTTCACTTCCGCTCTGGTTACTATACTGCGATATATCAGAGTCGACGTTCGATCACACTCTGGCCTCTCCGGAATCGGGCGATTCGTGAGCGTCTGGTTATCTGTCTCTTATTCTCGATTTATATGAGACAATTCGATGTTGTGTCCAAGCTCGTCTTTCGTAGCATCCCTTGCAGAAAAATTCAAAACTGGAGTGTAATTTTGGCGTCCCACGAGAATTGTTGTCGGTTGCTTCGGTTGCTCTGCCAACAGTGTCGGGCTCTTCAGATGTCATTTGCTGTGGTTTTGGGTGTTTGTGGCTGGCTTTGCGGCTCTGTTTTGGCGATTGAATCCAAAACATAGGTGAAAATTTCAGTTTCAGTTCGGCGTCTTCTGTTTCACAGGGAAATAAAAAGATCAACGGTTGTTTCCAAAACATTTTTTCTGTAAGACCACTATCATCCTTTTGAAAATATGATGGGAAACGCAGTCAATAGGCATGCTGTGTGATTGTATCAGGTGCATGCAGTTGCATTTCTGAGAACTCCACCCCTCGTCTCCCACCCAATAAAGCGTATCGTCAATTTTTGTGACGAAAATCAAAGTGCATCGTAGTAATTCCTAGAACTCCACCCTGACAAGGGAAAATGCACTCGCCGCCCAATAGTGTGACCCCTGGGTGAGAATCACAAAAGGCAACGCGACTTCTTTCTGAAGGGTCATGACTTGCACCAGTTCATTGGTGAGAGTTCCGCGAATAATGGTTTATTAGTTTTCTCGGAAATTATCGATGAAACAGTTGGTATTTATTTCATTTTCGTATTTTTTTTTTGTTAAGGGCGCATGAAACCCCACACGTTATACTTTTTTAACTATGGTTCGTTTCAATACATTGGGGAGGCTATTCCTCAATCTCAATTGTAAAGTATAAAATTATATTTTTCCCAGTTACTGATATTTTAACATTTTTCCAGTCATAGAACTATTTATTGAAAAATTGTACGTCTGTTTAAGAAAAAATCAGTATTAATTGCAACGAGTAAACAAATGGCACTATGCTTGTCTACATTTATCCTATTCCAGATCTAAAATCGACAAATAGGCAAGTATTAAAAATTTTCGAACTAACAAGGCTCTAATCCACCTGGAAACTGGCGTGTTTGTTTCAATGCTCTGCATCAATTAATTCGAAATGTAATAAAATATTCGCTGCCGTTGCCTTTCTATATTTTCATCGAACGTCATTAGAATCATATTCAATTATAATGTAATAAATGATCACATTATTACAAAAACATTAATCAGTATCGGGTTTCTCATCAAAATTAACAGAAGGTAGTTGAATTCCGCGATCGCCCAATTACAGTCCCAGTTATAATGCATATAATTGAGAGAATATTGTTAAAATTAAATTATATATCTCCGAAATTTAATACGTTAATATGCCGGTAACAGAATTTTTTATTTAGTATAAATGTTCCCAAAAAGAGTTCATAACAGTTGGTATAATGTTTCACATCATATCATATTGTTTAAAGACAAATTAATATAATTTTAACAATATACTTATGTGTAGTACTAAAAATTTACTGTTTCTATTTAAAAAAATTAATTATTTTCTGTAAATCGGGAACCGTAAGAATCCGTAGAAGATTAAAAGTACGCTACTGGAATATATACGTATGCCATTGTAGTCTATTTACAAAACAGTTAAATTATGAACAAATTATTTTCAATGAATAGTTTTTATCGAAAATACTATTTTTGTGATACATAATTTGTAAGGAAATTATAGAAAAATCGAAAAATATTGCGGACGCTACTGAATTTTACGCAAAAAACTGTACAAAAAATCTCTTCACAAAAATTAAAAATATTCACAAATAAAAAAGGTATAGAAAAATGGTTAATATTGAAAAAAGAGACTTTACCGTATTTCTTAAAATAATCAAAAATCGTTTTTTGTCATTCAACTTTTCTCAAAAATTAATTCCGTTATATCTTCCTACTTTTTTAAAATATTTTCGGGAAATAGGAGAACCCCTCGACAGTGTTGTCGAATTTGTTCCACTCTATACAATGTAATTTTGGGCTTTGATTAGATTAAAAAAACATTTCTTTTGATAAAAATTATAATTACTTATAATCTGTCTTTATCACTTTATTACTTTTATTATTGAAGTATTGTAATTTAAAGGTGCTTTAATACACTGATAAAGAAAATGATTTTAGATGATCTAGATTTTAAATTTATTTATACTCACCTACTGCTATTGAGTCGAGGTGGAATACCGAAAAATTAAGGTAAGCTGAAAGAAATGCAATTTCAAAATTGTCCAGAAGATGTCATTCTGCATTACGCTTATTTAAAATCCCTATATTGACCAAATACAGCAAACGGTTGTTGTCGTTTTTCCCGAAATGGTGGCTAGACAAATGTCAATTTGTATCATGTGTATTAAAAAAATGTCAAAATTTAATTTACTTTTTGGACAACGGGTTATGTAAAAATTAAGTAATTGGGTGATAAGATAATGTATTGGAAATTTACACTTTCATTTCAAGGTTGGTAATAGGGATTTTCAACTTACTTCAATGTTTGGGTGTTTCATTTCGACTGAACGCTAATATAGATGTTAGATTGAAAAACTTTAAAATATTTGAAACGTTTAAAATCTTATTTACGCTTTACGAAAGCTGGTTGCTTAAAATGTATCATCTTAACTATCGTGAATCTTGTAGACAAATATTTAGGGAAAAACATTGTCTTGCATTTACATTTTAGAATTAATGTGTTTTGTAAAAATAATATTTCAAGTTTTAGGAATCAAAATGCCGATCACGCCTATTTTACGCGATATGGTCTTGATTTGCAATATGATGCCCATCGTTTGGGATTGTATAGAGCTGATCCATATTATATTAGTGCTGTTCTTTCTAATAAATTAGAAACTAAACTAAAATCAGTAACAAGTTCTAGTAGATATACAGGGTGGGCCATTAGTGTGAGAAAGTAAACTAACTCCCTTGTTATTCGTAATACAGGAAGTCTATATAAAAGTTGTACAGAATCAAAAAATCTAAAGGGCACAATTGAAACACACAGGGCGACGAATAAAAACGGGACACACCAAATATTACATTTTGGAAACACCCTGTATATGTTTAAACATTTGGATTTCCGAGAAAATTCTATATATGGCAATATAAACATTTTAATATATTAGTGCGGGGTTGCCAAGTTATGTAGAAAATTCTTCGAATTTTGTAAAAAACATGATCTCGAAGAAGTTGTATTAACTTTCAACTACTAACACTTGGAGTAAAAATATTTAACAGAGTTATAGACAAATGTAAGACAAATACTCCTATATTAGCTATATCGATATTTTATACAGGGCATTTTTTATAATACGATCATTTTTAGAAAATTTAAACTTGATTTTCTAAAATTTTTCAAATGGAACACTGTATTTTATTGTTTCATTTTATTCACATATCAGTAAACTTCAACTTTTATTAAGTATGTTCCATACCTAAAGTTGTTAGATTTTAAAATATAGCAACATTTCTGGAAAAACCTAATTTTTATTATTTTCAGTCGCACGAAATGGCTTTGGAAAAAATCACATTGTGTCAACTAGTCAGTTTATAATTTATCATTCCATTTTGAGTTAATTTTATTAGTTAGTATTTATTTGTGGTATTCTATAAAATAATAAAAATTAACTTTTTTTCACAAATATTGCCATATCTTAAAAACAAACAATTTTAAATATAGAACAGGCTTAATAAAAGTTGAAGTGGACCGATATGTGAATAAAATAGAACACTAAAATACAGGGTGTTCTATTTGAAAAATTCTAGAAAATCAAGTTTAAACTTTCTAAAAATTATCGTATTATAAAAAACGCCCTGTATATATAAAATATCGATATTAGCTAATACAGGAGCCTTTGTCTAACATTTGCGCATAACTTTGACTAATTATTTTCTTCCAAGTGTTAGTAGCTGAAAGTTAATACAATTTCTTCGATTCACGTTTTTTTCAAAATTCGAATAACTTTCTACATAACTTGGCAACACCACACTAAAAAGATAAACTGTTTGTATTGACATATATAGAATTTTCTCGGATATCCATATATGTAAAAATATACAGGGTGTTCCATTTAAAAAATGTATTATTTGGCGTGTCCCG